AATCAGTTTCACTGTCCTAATTAGAACCTACTTATGAGCTTCCTATTTGAGGAGGAGCCAAATCATAGCTCCCATGTAGATCGATACCAGTTAAGGGGATGTCTATAAAGTGTGTGCCAGTTATTTTGTTGTCTGCTTTGTTAGCACTGAAGTGGCAACCAATTAAATAAGTGTCAATACTTGGGTAAGAGCTTATGAAGCAGGTGCTCTTGAAGGGAACAATTTTATATAAGCATTAATTAATACAGAACAGTTTGTCAGGTTGCAGCTAAATCTGATTACCTAGACACCATTAGGGACTGACATGCAACTGAAATGGATTTATCTGGCCTAGCCAGTCTAGTCCCCTGCTATTGCATCATACAATACTTTTCATAAATGAGTAGAACTACATTTTAAAGTCGGGGGGGGGGTTGTTTGTTTGCTTTGTTTGGGGGTCAGGGGCAGGAGTTCTCTCTGCTCTGATTGGGAATCTGTTATCTGAGACAAAACAGGTAACATAGTTCTAGTGCCCAGGGCTTCAGGTGAGTGGCGTAGCCTGACCTGGGGTGGAACGTGCTTCGAGAAGAACGGCTAGACACTTAGGGTGCCTATATACATGCTCCAACACATGCTAATTAAAATGTGTTGGAGCAGGCTCAATTACACAAGTCTGCTCTGTTTCTAATTAGAATACTCTAGCATTGCCGCAGTGTCACACGTATAAGCCTCTGGGTTTAAAAATGGCCACTGGGGCACTTTTACTAAAGCTTGTTGAATGAACTTTAGTTTGTCCTGTGGCCATTTTTAAATGTGTGGGGGCTTAATACATACGATGCTGCAGTGTTTTAATTAAAGCAGCTGTCTGAGAACTCCAATTAAAACGCCCTCCCCACCAACCCCTGAGCCCATGTATAAGCACCCTTACTTTTCAATTAGTAAATTTTAGTTCTACCCACTTTGTGGGGTTGGTCTTCCTTATATAAAGAGCGTCATATCCCCTCTAACCCTGTTCTTTTTTTACACTAAGCAAGCCAGGCTCTTCAGTTTTTGGCAAGACAGATCTTCCATTATCCTGGCCATCCTGGAAGCCTGTCTGCCCTTGTTCTAGCTTGAGTTCTGGGTGACTAGAATTGGTATGCATTATTTCACATGATATTCATCATTGCTTTCTACCAAAGCATTAAAATATCCCTGTCTGCACTGGAGATGCCGTGCCTGATGTGCCATATTTGTCTTTTGACATCCTCACCATCTTGGAATTAGCAGATTAATTTGGCGTGTCTTCTCCCTTGCTTCAAATTGATAAGTTCCCATGAAATATGTTGTTAGTCCCTAAGAACTTGTATTTAATAGTAAATGTAATTTCTTTCCATTTATCCAGCCCTGGTGGTCATCGAATTCTTGTATGATGATCTTATCTTATCTTGTGACAGTTCCCTCCATGAGATAAGACTAGTGGATCTGCAGTTGGGGAAGATGTGAGGGAGCATTTCCCCATGGCTCAACTCCTCCCTGTTCCTAGAGCTGGGAGGAGTGGGGAACAGCTGCTGCTCTATCCTGCCTTCCACAACTAGGGTCACCCTGGTCTGTGGATAGGAAGGGAATGCACTTCCTATGCTCCACTCCTTCCAGCCTCCAGGAGGAGTGTAGCAGGGGAAGCATTGAGGTGCAATAAATTCTCAAACAGGCAAGATCTTTGTTGCAGCAAGGGCATTCTCACAGAACCGGCATGTTTCATGCAGAAGTAAGAAAAGCCTGTGCGCATCCAGTTTCTAGTGAGGGAAAGGGAAGAAATATAACATCCGTCTACAACCTGATCAGTCTCAAGTTCTCTGGATCCTCTTTGTTTCCTTTTTTAAAATGGGCCCTATATTTGCCCTTTTCCAGTCATGTGGGACTTCACCTGACCTCCATGACTCCAATTGTGAGCTAACTGCAGTGGCACGATAAGGCTCGCAAAGCTGTTCTGTCAAGTGTTAGAGACAGCCCTTGGCACCCTAAAGAGATTCAGTGCGTGTGTTGCCATGCCTGGGACAGGCACTGAGCTGTACAGATGGGAACAATTCTGGATGTGCCCAAAAAAGGCACCTGGCATCAAATTAAAAGATACCTGCCAATATAGGTGCTTTCTGGCTCAAGCAACAACTGGTTAGGGAGGTTGTTTCAATGCCAGTTGAGCTTGGGTTCTGTTTTAGGCACCTAAATCTCTTATTACACCTGGCCCCTAACCTCTCCCCACCCCATCTCGTCCCAGGCTGCTTTCTGCCTGTGTCTAGCCTTATCCACTGTCTCCATGGAAGCCAAACATTGGCACCATGCCCAGAGTTGGAGCAGATCCATGGTCTGCTCTGTCAATCCTCTGGCAGCAGCAAAGGGAAATAAAGCTGTGCGTGTCTGTAAACCCCTGCTTCGCACAGCTGAGCAGTGGGTAGAGTGCCAACCCAACAGGCTGGAAGGCATCTTCAGTTCCTCACTAAGCAAGTGCCGAGGTCCATCATCAACCGTGTGGAGCTCGTCTGCACAGAGCTTTAGCAGTCTTGGGGCACAGAAAGTCACTTGTTGGCAGCTCTCTTCTGGGCCTCTCTGTTTAGAGGACAAATGGTGAAGGGTTGTCTGTGTGGAGAGGCAAGAGGAAGTTGGAGAAAGGAAACGTGCTCTGTTCCTTTCAGCATTTCCTATTGCCTTCAGAAGTGCTAGTTTTGTGTTCTCATGCTATGAATCCCTATCTGAGGTGCTTTAGGCTCCCTACACACAGTTAGGGCAGTGGTTTTCAACCTTTTTGGACTCAAGCCACCCCTTGGCCAGCTCCTAGCTTTCCCACTTTTTAATTAGAGAGAAATAATAGACCAATTCTGTTAAAGGAACCCCGACGGACCCCACCAGGTCAGAATCTTTCTGAACCTCTGGATTCCTATTTGAAATCTCTGGGTTTATCTCGTGAATCGTGTAGGTGTATGAACACCTAGCAGCACCTCTAAAAGGATCCAGTGTCACTGGTTGAGAATCACTGTGTCGGGGACACTGGGTGCCTAGCTCAGGGCTGTGGATTCTACCCCAGGTGCCTAAAAATTAGTTGTTGTAATACCAAGTGTCACAATACCCTGCCCTTATTGTGGCTGTAGCCCTATATGCCTTAGACCTTTCCAGTGATTGCATGTGAATAAAGTAGGAATACAAGCCTGATGGGTTTTTTTTAATAGGGCATATGCTCTTTTAGCCACTCTAGGCCTAGATGCATCATGTATTTGCACCAGTGTAAATGAAGGATAGCCACACAGCATGTCGTCTTCTACATTTGATGCTTTTTAGAATCTAATGTAGATCTACCCCAGGAAAAATCATGAGCAAAGCTACACTTGTGTAAGTTACGTGAGTGCAAGTGTTGGGCATCTGCTTTTATCTTGGAGCATTGTTTGCTCAATGCAAGCACGTTATGACTCATTCCCCTGCCATCTGGTGACAAGCCTCTACAATAATAGCAACTACCAGGTGAGACCTGGTCATAATTTCCTTTGGACCCCAGTGTAACTTGTATCCATCAGTGTACAAAGCCAACACAATTTATCCTGATGATATTTATCCTCTATATACCTTGATGTTTAGGGTCAACTCCAAAGCCCATGCATGCCATCCATATCTATGGCAAGCTTCTAGCTTGCCCCTCCCCTCTGCTGCCCATGGCAGCAGCCCAGCTCTGGGAGCTGCACTGCACTTCTGGGTATGAAGTCAATTTTGCTATGACAGCTAACTCCAGAACCTTCCATCAAAGCACAAATTAAGTAAGCCTCTTGGATATAAACACTTATTAGGCTGGTGCTTATTTAATAGAAATTCATTAAATCGGCATCAAATAAGTAGGTGTCAATTAAGATCCTAATTAGATAGATATTCATGTGATCGTTTAGGAAGCTTAGTTCAGTACTTCCCAATGAAGGGCTTATTAGGTATCAGGTCCCAATGTAGTAAGGGGTAATTAAACAGGCATTTGATTAGTGCTACTGAATTATCCTTTGAACAGGTCAGTAAATAAGAGCTCATTAAAGTATTTTTACTGGGCATCAACTTAAGGCACAAGTGAAATAGTCGCTATGTATCTGCTATCATTTAAGCACCAATTAAGGAGCTGCTGGGTGAAGGAGAGGCCTATGTAATTATTAGCAGCCACAATTCAATTAGATGCAACATCAAAATATACTGGTATAGTCATGAGCTAAACTGAGGCAAACAGAATTTGCTTAATCTAACAGTTGCTAATCAGCCAAGCTTGTATCCATGAATGTGCTTACTGATTAGGCATCACCATGGCTCCCTTATCGTCAAGAGAAGACAGTGCCATAATAGGGTGGCTGGCTCCAGCATGATACATTAACAGATGATTTCAGGCATGCTTTGTCAGACAACTCATAATGTTGCTCTGGTCAGGGTATGCAATAGTGTTGCTGCTGCTGATTCATCCTTCACCTTGCATGCTTTTCCTGCCTCAGGACAGGCTACTGTTGTGTGATAATGAACTTAAGGGAGCTAAGCGATTATTCAGGAAGGCAACAATTAAATGTGTGCTAAGTGAATGGAAGATGATTAATTTTCCCAGTGAGTAGCTGCTACCAAGTTTGCCAGTTAGCTTGGCCCCAAGTAGCTGCCAATTCACAGATTTTTCACACCAAAAAGAATCACCATGGTTTGAACTTCTTCTTGATGCAAACCATAACTCGTCACTTGGCATACGATGCCAAAACAAGAAGCCTGTGCTTGAGCTAGAATATATTGTAACTGCCTTTCTGTAGAACTTCATTATTCATGTTGTGAAAGTGCGTGCTGTAAGACTGTTCCCTCAGACTTTGTGGTCGAATGCTCCATGTTAAGTACCTTTTGCTTATTGGAAAGTAGTGTAGGAAACAGATATCAGGCTACTTGTTTCTTAGCTCTTGGTTGGGACCCCATAAATATTCTTATTTTTCAAGTATATACAACATTGTTGGCAAATAAGGGTAAAACATGCAACAGCTTTAGGAGTCCTAACCCAGATGGACTAAAACAATTCCTGGCTAAGCCCTGAAGGGCAGTGTAGTGCAGGGAAGTGTAAGAGTAACTGTGATACCACAGGGTAACTTATTCCTAGTGCTATGAGTATTATTCCATTCCCCACCTTCTCCCGGGGGCAAAGGTTCCACGCCGAACTCAGCCCTTCTCCATGGATGTGGGTGGGGATGAAAATGTAAGCATAATTCTCTTGATAGTTCCACTTCACAGCTGATCCCCGCTTTCTGCTTGTTGCCGCTTTCTCGCTTTGTCCTAGTTACTGTTGGTTCTTAGCCAGCAACAAGCAACTGTGTCATGCCCATCTCTCAATTTAAGACTCTCAGCCAGGGGCAGATCCAGTGGGAGGTATTGGGGTGGAGGTCCAATTGCTGTAACTGCCTTGGGCTGTGTGGTGCATCCACAGTGAGCAGTGCTCTGAGTTCACCAGCTTATCAGCATGGCTCCAGACCCCAGGGGGTGAGTACCACCATCACTTTGCCCTCCCACCCCATTGCCTATCACAAATTCATTAGCAGAGGAAAAGGGGGAGGGGAGCAGCAGCACAGTTCCCCTCCTGAGTTTCAAAGCCAAATCAAAGCAGCAGCTGTGGCCAGGAGCCATGCAGCTAAGTGGGTGATCTCAGTGTAGCCCCTATTTAGGCTCTGCGTAGCTGAAGTGGGGTGAGAACAAACTGCTCCCCACACCTGAGTTCCCCTTTATGGATCTGCATGTGATTCCAGCTCATGGGCTGCCTGTTACTCAGCCTTCATTTTGCTGCCAGCTCCCAAATTACTGCTGTTTCCTGCTGTTCCTGTTCAAAGGCAGCTGCTGGCTTTCTAGTGAGCACTGGTTTCCTCTGACATTTCAGTGTTGCTTTACTCAAGTATTTTTTGAACCCCTGGACTATCTAGAATCTAGATCTTTTCCCTCAGGCTCACCTAGGGCTGGTGGGCGGTGGGTACCCAGAAAAAAAACAATGGATTTATTAAACTGCTCTCTCCTTGGAGAAGATAGTACTTTTATAGCATCTCTCAGTAACATTGGACTGGAAACCGTCTCCAGAGTCATTGTTACAGTCCTTCACTATCACAGACAATCATGCAATTCCCTCTATAGATTTATCAAACCCCTTGAAAAGCATTTCAAGTTCTTGCCCCTACTAGTCCCATTGACAGACTATTTAAAGTTTTCCTGTTCAGGTGATTAGAAACTTTCTAATTCATTAAATTTATTCTTGGCCAGTTTGTTCTTGAGCTGAGGTACTTCTCTGGCTGGCATTTGCTTCTGAGTGTCTTGCGGAGATCCATCAGTCATATCCCTTTGCCTGTTTTACCAGACTAAACAAGCCCAGACCCATTCACTTTCTTTATAAACACAGGCTCTCCGTTTTCCTGATTCTTGTAGTAGCTCTTCTCTGCACTTTTTTCAGTCTCGGTCCGTTTTTATTGACCAGCATTGTACATAGTGTTCAAACTACTGTAATGTCCCATTACTGCCTTGTACGATAGGATTATTATTTACATGTCTTTACAGGATATACCCCATTTGATATGACCTGAGGATTGTGTTTGCCTCTTTCATAGCCATATTGTATTGGTTTTTCACGGTCAATCAAAGCACGCAGCAAAGTTAATCACTCAAAGTTCTCCGCTCCGGTGATCTCCAGGTCTGATTTATTTTGCTCCAGGCCTGATAATCAGAAATGTTCCTCTTTTATTTCTCAGATCTGTCCCAGTATCTCAGGTATTTTTCATTGGATCCCTAAATCTCCATGTAGGACTGGCCTAAAGGCTTGTATCATATTGGGATGTCTTATTGATAAATTCACCATAGGTATTCACCCAATTGTTGATATACTGAGCCCACTAACTTGCATTTGGCTAAAGCATATCTTCCAGAAAGGCATCTTATCTGGATCTAAGGACGATTCATCAGTTTCCTTGGTACTGCATTCCTGTGGTTGATCACCTGCACTGTTCAATTTGTGCCCTTTTTTTTTTTTTTAATAAAGCCATGTTGACTGACATTAATTAGTTCTCTTCCAGCATTCTGGAATTCTTCCAGTATTCCGAGATTTGTTAAAAATTATCAGCAGGCCAAAGACCCCCTTTGCCAATCCTTTTTAGGATTGTTTTGTGCGTGTTATCAGTCTGACAAATGCCCCTGCCTGCTAGCTACTTTTTAAAAGCCTCTTTAATAACTAATGGACTGGAGAAAAGTTAATTATTTTCACTTCACACCAATACACCATCCTGGAAAACCGCAACTACAGGAGACACATTTTTTTTAACTACTTACAAGATGCTGACTGCCCACCCAGCTCAGCTCGAGAAGAAGAGGGGTCTGTCAGTTTTGTTGAGGCAGCGGCCCCTGTGACGTCCAGTGACTAAGTGTTAACAGAGCAGCTGCAATGTTTTGCTCTCCCAACTGCATGTATTTTTTCCTTGGAAAACACCCTACTTACCAGTATTTTCAAGGAAAGATCTTTTTTTCGTTCTGTCAAAAACGGTGCATGTCTTATTGGGAGTGTGTTGTATCTGAGAAATTATGGTACATGTCTCAGTCATTTTGCAGCAACATAAAGCAAATAAAGTATAACACAATGCAGTATAGTTAGAGCTCTTTTCATGAGGACCAGAATTATAGGAAAGGCTTCCTTAAAAGGTGCAATTAATTGTAGGATTAAGAAATAAATGGCAGAGGCAGTGATTAATGTGTGCTTTTAAGTCATATAAAATGGGGATGGTATCTGTTTCTACAGCAGAGCAGCTTACACTGGTTATGGAAAATGCATTAAGTGCACCAAGTGGGGATTTGGAATGTATATCTTTGAAAACAATGTACATGGGTGACATTCCATGACAATCTTTACTTAATGTGATTAGGAATAATATTAGCTTGGGAAAATTCATTTTTGTTTTCCATGCATTCTATTTGCCCCTCTGTCTAAGCTGAAAATAATTATTGTACATGGATATTAATGAAGGTTTAAGTGCTTCCCATATACCCTATTTAAACAGAGCTAATGTGTAAGAATCAAACATTTTGAGCCAATGACATCATAGAATATTAGGATTAAGAGAGATTTACTTGTACCCTGATGTTTGATCTGTATTATGGAGTTTTTATTGATTTGGGGATTACAAGTGCTACCTATATTCAGCTACATTATCTTTATATCCAGGCCATTGCTTTTGTGTCCAATATCTATTACGTACATACAGGCATTACAGATCATTACTCAGCCACATGCATCAGTGTTAGGTTTACTGTTTTGTTCCTTGGCCTAAAATGTGTTTATATAAAACAAAAGCTAAGAAACAAAGAGTAGATATTCAATAAAACCTGGAAAAGAAAGATGTAAATACAGAAAGTTAAATAAGTAAGGAAGACAAAAGACTGATCACCAGGTATCCTAGTTTTCCCTGATTTAAAAAAAAAAAAAAAGGAATATTCTCCGAAAAAAACCCCAAAATCTGTGATTAAGATGAAAGGCCACTAGATAAATGGATAAGATAGACAGATATCAGTTGAACAGTTTTATTGATATATTTATCATTTTAAAGCAATTTGAAGTCTACCAGTGCCTCAATCACTATAAAAATAAATTCTAAATACCTATAAATTTTGGTATTTGATTCTGAGTTTTTTATCATGGAAAATCAAAGCTCCTCCTGTCCCCTTCACTCACCAGGACGCAGGTCCAGGTTCCTCACTCCCCTTTCCCCACAGCCCCCTGACTGCCCCCCCCCCCAGCTCTGCTGGAGGTGGCCCCCAGCTGCCAGGGCCAGGGACCTGGATCCACAGCTCCCTGCCCCCCACAGGAGGTGGTGGCTGCTGCAGCGGAGGAGAGCCAGGAGCCTGGCTCCCCCCTCCCTGCTGCCTACCTACTGCTGGCTCGGTCAGGGGTGGGGCCAAACCCAATCTTGCTCCCCCCCCCAGGACCTTGCAGCCATGCATTGTAGCCCTGGGCCCCAAGCCCCACACACTACCCAGCTTGGCAGCAGCCCCAGTCCTGCCCAACTCCCTCCCAATTCTCTTCTCCCCTCCCCCCACTTACCTACAGCAGCTGCTCTTCTGGCTACCTGGTGACCACATGCATATATACATGCACATGGTGCCCCCTGCCTGACTGCTCTCCTTCCGCTCTAGCCCCCTAGCCCCTTGCAGGCTAGAACTTCTCCAGCCTACAGAGAGCTCTTTGCAAAGCTGCCAAATACGCGGGTTTCTCTATTAAAATGAGAAGTCCGTGTTTCCCTCTGGTAAAGGGGGAAATCTGCAGCTTTTCTCCATTTTTTTCCATGGGAAACAGAAAACCCAGATCTCCACTAATCACTAACAGTCAACTTTGGTTTTCTAAAAGCAAATCATGTCAAACAAATTATATCTTCTTTGACTGAGTAACTATGTGAGTGGATGAATTTGTCAAAGTCCCACATGACCATTTTGGAAGCAAACTAGAGAAATGTGGACAAGATAAAACTAGTATAAGGTGCATAGGTAACTGGCTTAATTGCCACAAGTAAAGGGTAATAATAAAAGGTGATGTGAAAGTGGGAAGGATTTTCCTTTAAAGGAGAAAAGCATGGGAAACAGTGGCTGTTCCCTTGCAGCCTGGCAGAGTTCCAGCCTGCAAGGGGCTGCTTGGAACGCTTTCACTGTGGAAGATGGGAGTAGAATTGAGAAGGATCTTGATAGCTTAGAAAGTTGGGCTAGAGACAACAGGATGAAGTCCAATGCATATAACTACAAGGTGGAACCTCTAGGGAAAAATTATCAAAAATGCAAATAGAGTGAAAGAAAACTGGCTCAGTGGCAGCACTGCTAAGAAATATCTGGATCCTCACTTGAGTATTGATTAACATAAGCATCTTGTCAGCTCATACAAAGGCTTTGCTAAGAGCATTGATCAAAGCAGGCCTCACTAAGGGATGATTGACACGACCAGGGTGCCTTTGATGCACAGCAGTGTGTTAATGTTGATTGTCAAGGTTGATTGATAAGGGTAGTGCCAAAGATAATGGCAGGAGGTTTGAGGATTAGGGTAATTTGGTAGAGTTATCGATGTTTGTTATGTAAATGCCTCATGTAAACAGAGCTGCTTAATCCATGTATAAAAGAAAGACTGGAAATCTTTGGAATTTGTATTAGGCTGAGAAGATGCCAACAATGATGAGTTATGCCTGTCCCTTACTACTCAGAACTAACATCTTGTAACCCTCTGGACAAGCACTAGTGAGCTGGTGCTTTGTAAGTAATAACCCTAAGCTTTTTTGCTGATGAACCAGCCTGTGTAGTCATTATTTTTGAAGCAATAGACAGGCAACTCCCTAACAGAATGCTCATACTCAGACTCAGCACAAGTCAGCAATGTGATGCAGCTGGAAAAAAAAAAAAGAATACTGAATTAGGTGGTGTTTGGAGTTTTGGTGCAAAATATGGAAGGTGATAGTGCCACTCTTCTCAGTATTACTTAGCCCTCATCTAGAGCAGTGTTTCTCAACCCATGGGTCTCAAGAATATATAAAAGGGTCGTGAACCAACTTTAAAAATGGATCAACAAACTTTAAAAATGGATTCTCCTTTAAAGTAGGAAGACATGGGAAACCATGGCTGTTCCCTTGCAGGCTGGCAGAGTTCCAGCCTGCAGGGGGCTGCTTGGGACCCCCTCTACCCCACACACTGCGGGGCTGGGATCTAGGGGCAGCGGGTTGGGAGTGAGGGGTACAGGCAGAGCCAGGGGGCTCTTTTCTACTTACACTATTTACTGGGTTGGGACTGGCCATTGATATTTACAAATGGGTCCTGGTACAAAAAAGTTTGAGAACCACTGATCTAGGGTACTGTGTGCAGTTACTGGCTTTGCATTTTAAAAAATATGGAAAATCGAAGAAGGTCCCAAGGCAGGTGACAAAAATGGTAAAGGGGCTGGAAGGCAAGCCATAGGAGGAGCAGTTGAGAGAACTAAGCATTGTTACCTTGCAGAAAGGACAATTAAGTGGGAACATGATAACAGTTTTCCAATATCTGAAGGGCTGCCATAAAGGAGAGAACAACTTTTCTCCATTGCCGAGAAAAGGGTGGGTAGCAATGGCTTGAAATTGTAGCACAGTAGATTTAGCCTGGGAATTGGGAAAAACTTATTAACTGTTAGAAATCAGACAGTGGAATAGACTCCATTGTTGGAGATTTTCAGGAAGAAAATAAGAATTGGTCAGGGTCTATGTAGAAGAAATAATGTCTGGAGTGTACTGATCTCTACTCACCCACACATCCAGGAGGTCTCCTAGAATTTTGCTCAGAGACCATGAAAAGAGCTCTGCAGGTGGCAGTAGGA